CCCATCTCAATCCCGTAAGCTAGGGCTCACACTGGAGATTCCATCCACAATCCAAAACGTCAATTGGTTTTCCGTTTCCGATCTCAGCACCCATAATCCGAAGCTTCAACTGGTTTTTCATTTTCAATTCCAGGTACCGATAATCCATTTCTTTTCTATTTCTTTGCTTGATATTCTATATCGTATCTTCAATTTGGTTTTGTACCTGGGTTTTTTCGGTGTAAAATAATTTGATTCATGATGTGGAGGTGGAATTTCCGAGGCGGCTTGGAGGGGCCGTGAATTCGCGGAGGAAGGATAGATGTAGGAGGAGGCGAAATTTCTGGCGATTGGGTTGGGGTTGTATTGTTTGAGTGCAGAGGGTAGTTGCCGTAGAACAGGGAGAATCTGTAGAACAGGGTAACATTTCATCAGAATTAAGCTATTTGTTGATAGCAGTCCAATTTTTAGATCTGCAAGCATCTTTTAATTTACATTTTCCGAGCAATTTTGTAGCTGGAAAAGGAATGTAGTATGTAATTAAGATGTCAATTCTGCATTCCTTTTTAGTTTGAGGAACTCACTGATGCTCTGTTTTTTTTTTTGTCCAATTATGCTAATATGAAATTGTTTTGATAATTGTAAGTTCATGATTCTGTTGTTTGACAGTATCTCAATAATCAGTGAAATGCTTCTGAACTGTAAAACTAAAATCAATTTGGGATTGGTTTACTTGATTGTTGTTTACTTTGACCATGTATTATAGGTAGTGTCAATGTACAATCTGGACATTTCTTCACCATGGATTATGTTGCATGGATGAACTATAAAACTACCTGAATATGTGTTAGTTCACTGCAGCTGTTATAATTTCATGGTCATTTTGATAACTGGAGTATATGTATGGGTCATAGTCAGTCATCTATGTTGTCTTGCAATATGGATTATGAGTGCTTAAGCTAACATGTGCATGTTACAATGATTTTCAAGTGTGAGCATAGTTTGAAAAAACGTAAACGGGTACCGAGTCGTTTTTTTGTTATGAGGTGAGGCGTAAGCTTCAAAACGTTTTGAGGCATAAGCCTCACCACAAACAAAACAGGTGCAATCTATCGAACAAAATATGTGCAATCTGACGACAATGCACTGAACAAGAAAAAAGCCAAACAAAGTCTAGTGAAATAATTTTAAATTGTAAGTCACTAGAAGAAGGCAGAAGCAAAGGAGAAAAGAGACATAGAAGCAGCACTTGAGGACCTCTTTTAAGCGAAGGATTGAAGATAAGTTTTCTGGTTGCCGTTTAGTTCTGGAAAAATTTCTGACTGCCGTGTAGTTCTGGCCAT